TAAACCCTGATAGTAGCCCTTATAGACCCCTTTAAGGAACCCTTTACAGGAGCCCCCCAAAAACCCTATTCTAATCATTAAGGCACCTACTTTCAGCTCAGACTGGTGGGCTCCACATCTTTACCCCCAGCCTCCATGCAAGCTTCGAAGGCTACTCTGCGAGAGGAGCGTTTAGGGTTGAGGGTCTAGTGTTTAGGGTGGAGGGATGAGGGATGAGGGTTCAGGGACGTTGTACTGGAACCTTTTGACCCTGGTCCTAAAGCCGTATCCGGAACCCCTCAACACATCAAACATCATCTAACCACCGACCAAAAGCCCCTGACCCCTGCCGGAACCTACTGATGCACGTGCAGGGTATGGGATATCGACAAGAAGATATAGCTTGTTGGTAGGTCAAGATATGAAGCTCCCGAAGCGGTGTCTTGAAGACGAGCACCTTGTCGCCATCGTTCAGAGGTCTGTTCGTCGGCGAACATTCGCTTCGGCCGCGCCACTTCCTCGGAAAAGGGCTAAGGGCGGTTTGGGCGAGCCCCGAAGCCCTAGTCTCATTTTGAAAGCCCCTAAATTCGGGATTGTGGTAAGGGTGGGGTATATAGTGTGGGGTGTATATAAGGTTAAGGGCGGGTGACATATTCGATGTGGGTCGAGACTGAGGGTTGATGAACACTCTTCCGGTTTAGGGGTCCGAAATTACCCCGACAGCGAAGCACAACAAACCACAGACCCCAAGAGAGTGACAACTCAAGCCGCAACAACTGTGCCCTCCCCCCCGATGGCCTCCAAGCCGTCAGATGGAAGCTTTGGAAGCTAAAAGGAAGCCAGGCATCCTAGGCCCTAAACAGAGCCATGAGAGTTCAAGCCAGCAACAAAGAACACAATCTCCAAAAACGACATTTTTAGCTTAGAACCAAAACCAACTAAAACATAGTCTTTCAAAGCTAAAGCCATCACAAACCTGCAAGCACTACAGACCTGATAAGACTTTAGACTTTTCAAGCCACGGATCTGATAAGCCCTTAGGCTCCAAGCGAAAACCCCTACACCCTGACACCCCAGAACGAAAGCAAAGCCTTAACTCATACCTACCCCAAACAGACCCTGTACCCGAATACCCCAGCACCTCGAACCCCAACTCCTAAATCCTACATCCTTAAACTTTTAGGTCCCACTACTATAGGGGCCTTATAATTGCGTATACGATTTTTTTTTTTTTTTTTTT